GGGGCGGCCCCCCCGGGGCTGGGGCAGCGGGTTGCAGGCAGTACGGTGGATAAAAGGGGCTGCAGCCGCCTCCTGACTCTTTCCTTCTGTGCTGACAAACGCCACATGATGCTGCCGCTCTCCAGCCTGAATTTCTGGCTCGCTGACTGTTTCTGCAATATGCCAAGTCCTTAAACATCTGCAGCGTTAAAGCCTCATGCGGAGGGGATGGCGCAGGCTGTGCGGGGCCAGGTTGTTCCTGGAAGGGCTGAGAGCTCAACCGGCTCCTGAGACCAACGGGATGGTCGCTTTGCCCTGTCCCCCACCCTCCCTGTGACATTGCCTGGGGTGGCTGCTGGGTGGCCCCGAGCTGAGCACCACCCTCTGAGCCGAGGGAGCCGAACACCCGGATCGCAGCATGTACTGGCTGGAATATCATGTCCGAGCTGCCTCCTCCCCTCTGCGACGGGCCAAACGCAGACCTCAGCCCCCACCGCTCCCCCCCCGGGGGTTGTGGGTGTCAAAATCCAGGTCCGAGTTTTGGAGCGGAGGCAAAATCCCTAGGAAAGGTCTGGGACAGGGTGGAGGGAGAGCCAAGTGCATGGAGGGATGTGGCTGGGAAAGCAGCTGCGGGGCCAGGGAGGGGACTGCACGTAGAGCAGCTCCCTGTCGCGAATTTGCCCGTTCTCTGCAGCCCGCCTTTGAATCTGAACTCTTACAACACAGAAGCACGCACGTACATCCCCAAAGGGGACTTACTGCAGCACTGCTGAGCTGAGTATCTGGCAGCATTCGGGCCCCGTTGCTCTTCCCCTGTTCCTCCCTTCCCCCAGCAAGATGCCAGAGCTCTGATTGAAAACAGGAGGCATGTGAGGCTTGTAGGGTTAAACAGAGCCAGATGGGAGTGGAGCAAGACAAAAAGGAAAGTTAACAGGCTGGGCCTGGAGGGGAGGGTGAGAACAGGATCTTTTCTTGGAGAAAGTCAATTACTTGGAGCCCCAGGAATGTGTGGGATGGCTTCAAAGGGAGCCGGGCTGGCGAAGCCCTGGGAGCGGTGGCCCATCGAGGGGCCTTCAGAGCATCCTTGGGTGGGATGCGGAGTCCAGTGGGAGGCTGTAAAGGGGGTTGGTGTGGCAGGGACCTGCCGCAGCAGTGTTGGTCTGTGCTGCTTGCTGGTCGGATGAGGGCTGAGGACATCCCCCTGCTGGTATGCTGAGCTGAGCGGGGCTGGCTGCGCCCGTGGTGCCGATGCCCCTGGCCCCCGTGGCCACCACGGCTGCGCTCCAGCGAGCTGCGAGCTCCACTCCGTCGTGCTGCATGGGAGAGAGCGATGAGCTCAGAGAGCCTCATTTCTCTCCGGCATCAGCATCACCAGCTCCAGCATCACCAAAGGCTTCTGCCCCACTCTCCAGTCCCACCAGCACTGGCTCCCACAGCAGACGCTCCATTTCCCCAGGAGATCCAGCTTCTTCTGAGCCTCCTCATCTCACTTGATTCTCTTTCCCACCCTGCCTGTGCTGAGAGCCTCCATCTGCCTCACGGTGCATCCAGCTCAGCTCTGTTCCTGCTGGGGTGACAAATGCCACTGGGAAAAGCCTGGCGAACACCCTGCGGTATCTTCCCAGGAAGCCCACAGCCTGGTCTGCTCCAGCTGGCCCCGGGGAGTGTCGGAGCATTCAAAGCACCACCTGCACTGGGCTTTCTGGGGAGCTTGTCTGCAACAAGCTGGATCCCTCCATCCTCTGAGGCATCAGCTGGAGAGCTACCAGCAACAGTCAGTCTTGCAAGGATGATTGCTGCTGTTCCAAGCAGCAGCAGGGAGGGCAGAGATGGGACAGGCAGCTTTGGCAGGCTTGGTAATGACCCAGCGAAGAGGGAGGGGTGGTATGTGTAAGGTGTTGGGCTGGTGTCCAGGGGAAACTCTCTGGCTAGGGGTAAGCCTCGCCTCGTCCCTCCAGATCTCCCACTTCTACTGGTACTTTCGCTCAACAACCGGCCCAGCCCAGCACCCTGCAGTGGGACTGGAGGTGACGGTTCAGTTATTTGGGCAGCACAGGGAGCTGTAGAGCTGAACACTTTTGGTATTGCCCGTGAGTAGTCTTGCAAATACCCCTTTTAGCCCATGGCCTTGAAAATGGGCTGTCCTGCACTAAAGCCTTGTCCCTGAAGCACAGGGCCATCCATCTTTGCTGCCCCGCTAACTGCTGCTGGCCTCCTGGTGCTGTTGCTCAGCCAATTCGCTACTGAATCATTGATTTTTTGGCTCAAGTGCAAAATTAAGCCTAATCCATCAAGGTCTCTGAAGGGACAATGCATCTTTCAGGGAGAGGGCATAGTGGTGCTGGAGCTCCTGGGGGGGCCAGGCTCTGCGGGGTACTGCTGGGGGTGGCATGTGAAAAATCCTCAAACCAAATGAAAAAAAAACACCCCACCCAGCCCACCATGGCATAAAGCTGAGCCAGAGAGAGGGGATCTCAGTGTCTCACGCTCTGGAGAAGGATTGGATTTAAAGATAACTTCCAAGGGGAAGACGAGAAAATCGCAGGTTACTGGCAGGGATGTGGGGTAAATTCCTGCCTGTCAGTGATGTGGGGAGATAGGAGATGATGTGGTACCTAAACTGGGTGCTTCCTAACCCACCCCTTCTTGTTGCCTCCCTCAGGGAAACATCTGGACCATGAAGGTGGCCTTCAGATTGCTTCTCCCGCTTGTTCTTGTGCTGATCTCGGAGGTGAGCGGGCAGCGGAGGAAGCCTCCCCGGAAACCCACCCGCCCGCCTCCCGAGTTCGTCGAGCCTGTCGAGCCCACTGAGCTGCCTCCACCCCTGCCGCCGGGTCCCCCCTCCGTCTTCCCCGACTGCCCCCGAGAATGCTACTGCCCCCCAGACTTCCCCTCTGCCCTTTACTGTGACAGCCGCAACCTGCGGAAGGTCCCCATCATCCCGTCCCGCATCCACTACCTCTACCTCCAGAACAACTTCATCGACGACCTCCCGGAGGAGTCCTTCAGGAACGCCACGGGGCTGAAATGGGTCAACCTAGACAACAATCGCATCCGGAAGGTGGACAGGCGGGTCCTGGAGAAGCTGGAAAACCTCATCTTCCTCTACATGGAGAAGAACCAGCTCAAGGAGGTGCCTGCCTTCCTGCCACCCAACCTGGAGCAGCTGCGTCTGAGCAGGAACCAGATCTCCAAGATCCCTGCTGGGGTCTTCAACAAGCTGGAGAACCTGGTGCTCTTGGATCTGCACCACAACAAGCTAAGCGATGGGGTCTTCAACAAAAACACCTTCAAGGGACTCAAGAACCTCATGCAGCTCAACCTTGCCCACAATATCCTGAGGAAAATGCCCCCTGGGGTGCCCAGTGCCATCCACCAGCTCTTCCTGGACAGGAACAACATTGAGGACATCCCCAGTGACTACTTCAAGGAGTTCCCCAACCTGGCATTCATCCGGCTCAACTACAACCAGATCTCTGACAAGGGGCTCCCCAAGAACTCCTTCAACCTCACCAACTTGCTGGTGTTGCACCTGGCCCACAACAAGCTCACCAACGTCCCTTTCATCAGCCCCAAGCTGGAGCACCTCTACCTGAATAACAACTCCATTGAAAGTGAGTTGTGCTGGCCAGTTGGGAGGCTGTGGTGAGGTCTGGGGGGGAGCAGGTGGGCTTGAGGATGGCAAGTGTCTCGCTGAAAAAGGGCATTTTTCACCCAGTGGGGTGTGAACTCTTCAAAGGGGGGATGTGGTGGTGGGATGAGCTGGGAGCATTTTGTAGGTGAACAAGGCCCTAAGGGGGATGGATTTGCATGCAGGGATGGATGGCCTGAGGATGAGGGTGGCAGCTGAGGAGCAGAGCTGAATTCCCCCTGGTGCTGCAGGGCTTTTCTTGTTCATTGTCAGGGGCAGCTCTTCTTTGGGGCCACCTACCACCTAAATAGTTACTTCCCCAGCAGGGCTCAGAAATAGGGATATTTAAAAAGGAGAGTCTGTGCACATATTTTAAGAACAGATGCCAAATACGCAGTCAAGATGGTGAGAAATAACCCAGCTTAGCTCTCGAGCTGAGCCTCACAGAGAAAGGAACAGGGAGAACAAGGCTGCGATGGAGGTTGCCTTGGCAAACCAACCGGGGCAGTTTCACACCGTTCCAGGCAAAGCACTGCAATTTCATGGAAGAGGTGCTGGCCTGTGAGTTGTGTAACCGTAGCTAGCACATTCAAGAAGAAGATAAGAGACCCACTCCTGGTCAGCCCAGATGTTTCTGCTATTAGAGGTCCAGCAACCTGCTGTCCTTGTGGGGGAGCCAGAACGCGGCGCTCCTGCCAGCAACCCTCCGTGTGCACCAGCAAAAGCGTGCTGGGCTCTTCTGTTTCTGGCTGCGGTGGGGCGTACGGGGGCTGCAGGACCCACCCAGGGCCTTACTCACCCGTGAAGCCGCCGTCGGGCAGGACGCTGGTCCCCACAAGTGGTGTGACACCAGCACTTCCACGCTGCGGTGTTTTATTGTGCAGCGGCGGAGCGTGGCTTTATGTGTCAGGGTGGCCCACTGCCAAAGAGGGGTTGTGCAATCACAGAGCAGCTTCAGCAAGGCCAGCTCCTGCCCAAACAGGGCACGGAACGAGCCCAGAAGGGATGAGCAAGAAAGCCGCCCTTTGCAGGTGAGCACTAGTAGGATGTTACGGGATGCGATGCCAGGGAGAGGGACAAAACCCTCACAAAGCCACATCCCTTCTCTCAGGGGCTCTCCAGAGTCGGTTCCCAGGGAATAATGATGCAGTGAGGAGCGTCTGGTTCAAATGCTGGTTAATCTGCATTTTATTTAAATACCACCAAACTGGAGCCAAGGGGAACCTTGGGGCAAAGGTGGTGACTGCTGCTGGCTTCACCGGTACCCAGGTCCTGCGAGGGCTTTCCATGGAGGCAAGCCTGCATGGCCGTGCACATCACGCCCCGGCTCATTTTTGCCCGTTTTACCCAGCTTTTACAAGGTTTCAATCCCTGGAATTGGGTAACGACATAAGAATCCGCAGGTTTATTTTCCATAACGCAGGCCCTGGGGTGGGGAGAAACATGTGGAAATCCAGAAGCGAGCAACGAGCTGGTTATTGACGTTATCTTCAGCGTAACGGTGCTGGAGCGTGTTCCCTTGATGTTTTGTTGAAGGCTTAGGGCTGGCTCGGCAGGTTTCATGTTTGAAATAATCCCTTTTCTCTCTCAAACGACACTGCATCCCTCACCGCGCTTTGGCTGAACGTGACCTACTTCATTTCTGAACACCAGCAGGATTTTCCTCTCGCTGGGGCTGTGCCATCTTCTGGGAGAGGCTGGGGATTCTCCCCCTCAGTAGCAAAGCAGCCCCATTTTGGGGTTCCACAGACAGGCAGGCAGGGAGGGGGCGTCTGTAGCATCCCTCTCCGTCTTCCCTTTCCTCTAACCTGCATCCCGCTTTCCCTCTCCTCCCTGCAGAAATCAACGGGACGCAGATCTGCCCCACCTCGCTGATGTCCATCCACGATTTCTCCCTCTCCAACCTGGACAGCGTGCCCCGGCTCCGGTACCTGCGGTTGGACGGGAACCTCCTGAAACCCCCCATCCCCTTGGACCTCATGATGTGTTTCCGCCTCCTGCAGTCCGTGGTTTTCTAGCCCTGCCCAGCAGCACGCCTCTCCCAGGACTTGGCTTTGCACAGAGACTCGGCCCCCGTCGGTATTTGACACCTGGGACCCTCTTTGCCACCCTCTCCCCCTGCTCAACACCTCGCCTCCGTCCCCCTTGCCCTTCCCCCTTTCCTCCCCTGCAGTGGCTGTGGACACGGGGGGCATGTGTGTCCTTGGGGACCGCTGTCTGCAGGACAGCACCGTGTCGCAGCAGCCGTCCCAGGTCACAGCAGCAACCCCGGGGTGGCTGCCACGCTCGCCCCAGCTCCCTGCCTGGGGGCCCTGCCTTCTCTGCCCTCCCCCAGGCCAGCCCTGGAGCTGGCTCTGTCTCTCCTGGCAGATTTTCAGGAGGTTGGATTCGATCCAAGTCAAAAGCATCTCTGGATGGAGCTGACGAGGGAGCCCAGGGGCCACCTCGCTGCAAGAACTCGGGTCACATCATTGCTCCGGGTGGCTGCACCCAGAGAGTCCACGATGTCCCTGGGGAAAAAAAAACCCCTGTGACGGAGGTGGAGGAGGGATGCCCCGGGCCAAGGGTGCAGACGGCCACCCTGCAGCCCCGGGACGTGGGGTGATGCCATCTGGGTGCACCAGCGATGGGTGACTGGGGCAGGCAGAGGGTGGCCGGGTCTGGTGCTGACCGGCAGGACCGGCAACGACACCTCGTGGCCAGAGCCACGTCCCGGGGTCCCCAGTGGGGCGAGGGACACACTCCTCCTCCTGCCTGGACCCGCCTGGAGGGCTTTGGCCTTGGCTCTCCATTGCTCTGGAGGTCAAGGGGCTCATTCCCTCGTGGTGGTGTGAATTTGGCAGGAGGCTGTCCTGTGGCTGGAGCTGGGCTCTCCTGTGCCCCGGGCGCGTTACACCTTCCCCGCAGCAATACACCACACCCCCCCCTTTGCCAGACCAGCCCCCTCCCCAGCTTTCCTCCCTCCACTTGTGTTTCGGTACCTGGAGCCAGATGCTGATGTGGGTGTAAAGCCGGGCTTTGCCGGGGCTGGGCTGACCCGTGAGATCTCCGCTCTGCTCTCACAGTCCCTCTGCCCTCCTGCCTTGACTCCCTTCTCGTGGAAGTTTTACTTTCTGTTGCTTTCTTGAACCAAACACACAAGACTGGTTTTGCCTTTTTTTTTTTTTTTTTAAATAAAAAAAGAAGGAAAGAAAAAGAAAAGAGAAACATTACTCTTTGGGAAAAGCTATTTTTTATTCCCCTTTCTCCCTGTTTTCACATGTACCGCTTCCCTCTTTGATAGCTGTACCTGCATATATAGGGTGTCCGGGTTTAGGGGGGGTTATACTCTTTTTTTTCTTCCTGATTCTCAGGATTTAGATTTAAGACCAGAGGGTAAAAAAAAAAAATCCAACCGAAATCAGCATTAAAGCAATAAACCAAGAAATCAGCCATTACCTCCTTTGTGTTCAGCCACCAAAACTGACCCTTGTCCAAGATGGGCATGGATGGGCACCGTGTCCTGCTCCTTGGGAATGGGGCAGGGATGCTCCCCGCAGCCTGGGGACACAGTAGCGACCTTGTGAGCTGGGTGGTCCCCCCTTCCCAGTTCCTTAAACTCCTGTGCTAATTCAGGCTTGTTTTCTCATGATAAAAGTCTCTTCTCCAAATTCTCCTCCAGTGGGCTTTATTGGGTTTGACAGGTTTCAACCTTAAACCCGGAGACCCTATGTATATATTTATATATAATGTGTATATATACTGGTAGACTGTACAGATATATCTAGAGACATATGTAGTTCTCGACTGATTGCAACTTAATGGTATTTTCACTCCTACTCTCCGCAGCAGTGAAAATAAAATGATTCACAAGGGACCCAGCGCCGTGGTCGGACCTGCCTCTCTCTGATCCATCCTCATCTTCCTCGCTGTGCAGGAGCTGCCGCCGCTTCATTCAGCAGCAGATTCCCTCCCTTGGGGCCAACCTTCCCGACGGTCGGAGCCTGGGAGACCCCGGGGGTCCCCGCAGCAGGAGGCTGGGGGGTTGTTTGTGGTGTGCCCTCGCTTGAACCGATGCTGGGTTGGACTGGCAAGCAGTGCCAGCGCCACAGGAGCAGGCATGCCTGCAAAGCCCCCTGTCTTAACGAGCACCTCTGCTAATTAAGAGAGCCCGACCTCGCTGCAGCTCCCAGGGCCGTGGCTGCAGCTGATGGGCGTTGTTGGCCCTGCAAGCCGACCGGGAGAAGCTGATGACTGTGTGCGCTGTGTGTCGGGGCAGAGTGCTTGAACTCGAGCAGAGCAGCCCCCGAGTCACCTCCATGTTCCCAGGAAAGCCAGACAAATGTCCAAGGGGTGAGTTTGCCCCCAGGGAGGGAGCAGCACGGAGGAACTTCAGGGCGTGCACAGGGGCAGCAGCCGGGGGGAGACACCTCTACCACCCACAGTGAGCCCGGATGGATCCCCAGGGCTGTGGTCATGCGGGGTGCACGCGTGCTTTCACACGAGCAGAACGGGTGTAGGCAGCGACTTCTCCTCCTGCCCAGCGCCTCGGCTTCACGAAATCTCCTCTCGCTGCCGCTGCTGCTGCTCTCCTCACGTGAATCGTGAGCGGAGAAGGAGGGCGGCTGTGGGCGTGGGTGCGAACGCATGGGCTGCGGCGTGGGGGCTGCCCACGGGAGGGTGCACGCTGGCAGGAGGGGGTGCGTGTGCACGCGTGTGCATGGGTGTGTGAGCGGGGCAGGCCCAGGCAGTGAGGTCCCCTTATGGTTTTTTGTGCTGGAGAATAAAATCTCCGTATTTTGTAAGCGGGGCGTGAATCATGCACGCCTGGGTGTGCATTCACTCGCCGCCTCCCCCGGGCAAGTCAGCCCTGTCGCCCCGGGGGAGCGGAGCACTGGAAAAGCAGGGGGGCTCGTTGCTTCTCTCTGCAAACAGTCGCCGTGCCACCTTGGGAGAGGGACCTGGGCCATCGGCGTGGGAAGTCTTCCCCTCACCGTGTGTGTCGTGGGGTCACGGGGAAGGCTGGAAACCCCTCGTTAGTGGGGGCTGAGTGGGGCTGCTGGGGTGGACATCAAAGGGGGGGCTCCTCAGCATGGTGGGTGCTGATCTCCCTGGTGCTGGGGAGGGGGCTGTGGCTCCACTGCGGAGTGGCTGGATATAGCGAGTGGCAGGTTGGAGCAGGATGAGTTAGTGCTCGAATCAAGCCCCCTTGCAGCTGGTGACACCCCCCACTCC